CAGACAAGTGCGAGTGGCGAGTGATGATGAAGAAGGGACGACGAAAAGAAAGAAAAAAAGAAGAAATGGCATCGATAAGGGCAGTGTCGAAGAGGCAACAAGAACGTCAGAACTCTCCAACTCATCTCCATCTCGGACTTTGTCATTCTACACCTCGCATTTTCACATGATCCCAAGTAGCACTTTGTGTGCCACTTTGTGTTCAGGCTGCCATCGCCACCACAATTGACGCAATCACCACAATTCTAATCGATCCTGATAGTGGAAAAGGCATCAATAGCAGCAACAGCAGCACTTTTTGCATGGTTTACTGACCGTAGCCAGGCTGATGAAATTATGGTGGCAATTAGTTTCGAGTTTGCTGTGTGTGTGTGTGCCTGTGTCTTATCAATTCTCTCCCACAGCTTGCACACACAGTTTGGCTTGTTTGTCTTGTTCGATGTTGCAGCAGGCATTCTCCAATGCGAGGAAAAATGTGCAGTAGGGCTGATGGAGTTAGCTGATTACTTGGCGTCGGGCAGAAAGTGTAGCAGTAGTGAGAGCACCAGTGAAAGCACTTGATTGCATTTTTCAGGGTTAAGGTCCAGAAGAGGCGCCAAAGCTGCTGTTGGTGGCTTCTTTTTTGCTTCTTTTTCTTCTTGCACATCACTTATGTCTTGCTAATTGCTTTCACTCTTCTTTTTCTCTTTTTTAAGCCTTTTACCTACACTCTTTTGCTAAGCCAATATCTCAATCGGATTATTAGCACCTTTACACTTGTTTTCAGTAAAACAGCAGCAGCAGCAGCCAAAATACTTGGAGTTTTCCACCGCATGCGGCGATGTTTATTTTCTTTTTGCACTCCAAATCAGCCTCGCTCATTCGGAAAAGCTGTAGCTGTAGTCGCAAACACTACTCCTTTATCGCATTTGATGGGGTCAATCGACGACAGGAGATCACCCCTTGATTTTAGTAGTGTTGGTGGTGGTGGTGGCAGCAGACTGTGGTGGTGGTGATAGATGGTCAAGATTGTCACTGTTTTTGCAAGTGCAAACCTCGATCAAATCAGGTTAGTGCCGGCCGTAACAGCAGCAGAATCACTCCACTTTTGGCGGACCGCCTTTCTCCAAACCTGTGCACACACAGAGAAAAAGAAGTGTGCTGCACACGTGAACGGCAGATCGTGTTTGTGCCACTGTGCGCTGCTTTCGGGTGGGTGGGTATTTTTAGAATCACCGATTAATTCGCCGGGGTTTGCTGATGCTCATGTGAAGAGGGGGATACCTCTGTCTCCTATCCTTTCCTTTGGCAGCAGTCAATTCCTAGCCTTGAACTGCTTGTACTGCGCTGCCACTCAGTCCAGATCGCAGTTCAGATTTCCAGACCACTTTGCCACACTAGTAATCTAGTACCCCTGAGGGAAAGTGTGGTGGAGACAATCTCGTCGGTGGCAATGACACTTGTTGTCACACTCGGTAATCACTCGCACACTGACACTGATTGAGCCAGGCTAAGTAGATTATTAGTGCGCGACTGCTCATCTGCTGCTGCTAAACTGCGGCACTAGATTCAAGTTGATGTGGCGTCGCCAATAAACAGCAGCTGCAGCTAATGTGATTTTTTATTTTCACTGTCTGGAGTTGTGCCATTACTGTGCATATGTAGAATAAAGCAGAAGCAGCAGCATTCTTGAACGTTTGCTCTTTCCCTGTCGGTGATGGATGATTGCCGCTTCAAAGTGCTGCTGCTGCCGAATTTGCCAGAGACTTCTATCTTGGCTGTCTCATTTGCCGCCTGCTTGCTTGCTTCTTCATCCTCTACACTTACACAGTGTTGTTTGTTTCGTGTCTGAAAAGAGCAAAAGCATTTCTCCAGCTTTATCTCTCTCTGGAGAGCTGCACTGCATCTCTTATCAGTAGCCCTAGGCAGCAGCAGCATCATCAGTAGTAGTTGTAGAAGTGCTCCGCCCATGCCTGGTGGTGCTGCTGCTGCTGAGTTTGCCTGGTCATACTCCAATGTTCAATGATTCTCACTGCCAGAGCCACCACCACCACCACCACTACTGTTTTTGTTGGTTTGTTTGTCTGTCTTGTTGCCCACACCGTCGATGCGGCTATATATGCCGGTGCAACAGCAGCAGGCATCTTGAGTGTTGCTTGCAACATCATCGTCAACACAGCAACTTCTGACAGCCAAAGCTTCTGTACAGAACACACCAAGTTTGCCGGCGGTTTTTAGCTCCAATTACTTTCTTTTATTGATCAACACGTGTTTGCTTCAGTTATTCTGCTTGGAAAAAGACTTTTGCTCTCCAGTTCTCTGCAAGTTTTTCTACCAGTGACTACTTTTGCCGATGATGAGCTTTCCAGCGACTATTAATATTCAGTCCTCACTTCAAGTGTCAGCGCGCTTCAACGAGAAGGCGTACAACTATCAGCTTTTCATTTGCGGTAATTGCTGCTGCTGATTGATGAGAGCACACTTTTTAGCCATCTTTTGTTGTTGTTTGTGTCAACCAAAAAAGCTTTTGTTCATCATTTTCTAATGTCATTTTGTTCTAATTCAGGTTCCGAGAAGGAAAGTGCAGCAGCATGGCTGGCGGCGGCCACCAAACAGCGATCACCACAGACGACCAGGCGCAAGAATGGAATGCACCTTCACTTTGGAGGAGGAGGAGGAGATGACGGCGATGTCACCGGTCTCAAGTTCACCAGCACCGGCAGCACCGTTGTCTCCTGCGGCACCGAGGTGCAACTCGCTGAGAAGCAATCGGCCGCCTTTCCGTTTCCACCAGTGCCTACTTTCTCCATCAACAAAAGCAGTCAATATACTCCCTCATTTCANCAGGTTCCGAGAAGGAAAGTGCAGCAGCATGGCTGGCGGCGGCCACCAAACAGCGATCACCACAGACGACCAGGCGCAAGAATGGAATGCACCTTCACTTTGGAGGAGGAGGAGGAGATGACGGCGATGTCACCGGTCTCAAGTTCACCAGCACCGGCAGCACCGTTGTCTCCTGCGGCACCGAGGTGCAACTCGCTGAGAAGCAATCGGCCGCCTTTCCGTTTCCACCAGTGCCTACTTTCTCCATCAACAAAAGCAGTCAATATACTCCCTCATTTCAATCATCATCATCATCATCATCTCCAGCACCAGCAAGTCGGGCAATACCGACGATTGTCACCACTCCTCCCACCACCACCACCACAAACACCTTCTTCAGTGGCATTGACAGCAGCACTGCCCAGTACCAGATACCCTCAAACATCAGCAGTGCTCCAGTTCAAACTCCACAAACTCAACCTCCCCCTTCTCCGAAACCGCTGCAGCCATTCGGCAAGAATGATCGAGTGCGGCGAACTTCGATCCTCCGCCCACCCGCCAGTTTTGTCCCTTCTCCAGCAGCTTCAGCCGCTGCCAAAAAGAAGGTCAGCTTTGCGGACACGGCCGGCAAGGCGCTGGAGGTGGTGCGTTACTTCTCTATCACCCCGGTGGCCACTCGCCGCTACAGCTCGTACACGGCGCCCACCGGAGACGCCTACCTCACAAACGGCAACTACAACAGCCCCTGGAACTTTGCCATCAGCGGAAATACCAATCGAGGTAGCAGTATCAGAACATCCACCGGAAACGGATGCTCTTCCGCTGCTTCAACTGCAGTCCCAGCTTTCAGCGTCTCAAAGGAGTACGACTACAGTCAGCACGGAAAGTTGGCGCCTCGCTACGAGCTGGTCGCCTGCAACTTTACCAGCCCTTCGTTGCAGATCTCTTTTGGTCAAAAGTTAGAGGCTCAGTCGGTGCTGCTGCACTCGGTCACAACCGCCGAGACCACAGTCTACGGAACCGTTTCAGTGATGAACCGCCACTTTACCAAGCGCGTTCTGGTCCGTTACACCTTCAACGAGTGGGCCAGCTACATTGAACGGGAGGCGACGTACATGCTCGGCTCGCACGACGGCCGCACGGACAAGTTCTCCTTTGTGATCTACGCGAGGCCGGAGGATTTTGGCGCCAGGGCAGGAAGTGGAATTGGCGGAAATCATCAGCAGCAGCAGCCAAACCTGGCCACCGCCTTCACCGCCTACAGTCAGGCGAACACGTTTGTTGCGAACGGCAGCCAGTCGGCCACCTCCTCCCATCCGCGCCTCTACTTTGCCCTGTGCTTCAGCACCGGCGACGGGCGGCAGTACTGGGACAACAATGACGGTCGCAATTACTGCCTCAATCTGACCGCCTACTGAACACACTTATCCTTTCTGCTCACTTTTGTTACCTTCGTTACCCGTTGCTCTTGGTCTTATTTTTATTATTTTATTTTCTCGTCTTTTCACTGCACACACCTCACTGTGCGGTGTCTGTTTTCTTCCAGCCGTACACTACTACTGTGCCAAACTGACTGACTGACTGTGAATGCCGTACGTTTTTTGTGGTACGGTGCCACTGTTCACAATCAGCACCTAATCTGTTGTCATCATCGTGACCCTCCTCCTCTTATTACTATTATTATTGTCCTGTCCGTGGCCATCATTGTAATTTATAACTTAAACTCCCCCACTTTACAGCATTTTCCCTCTTTCATCATTGTCATCACCCCACCATACCACCACTATTGTCAACTATGAGCTTTTTCAAACAAAAACCAATAAAATCATTTTAATTTATGATGAATTTGAATGTTTTTGGCTATTTTTGTTTTTAGTTCGAATTGTGTTGATGTTTTGGGAAGTTCGATAAGTTATTTTTTTCTAGATAAGTTGATGACGTTGGGTTAGAGTTGATTACTTTATTTCATTCTTGTGGTAAACCTTTGATTTGTTTCTGTCAAGTAAAGCCTGATTTGATCTTTACAGTGTGTCATGGGCNTTGGGTTAGAGTTGATTACTTTATTTCATTCTTGTGGTAAACCTTTGATTCGTTTCTGTCAAGTAAAGCCTGATTTGATCTTTACAGTGTGTCATGGGTTGTGTTAACTCCTGTAAGTGATAAAGATGTGAAGGAAATGTTTGAAAATGACTTTCTAAATGACTCCCAAAACAGCCGATTCGCATATTGATGATCTGGATGGCTACAATGACAATGCCTACCAAGACGATGCCGAAGCTGAAGCTGAAGCTGAAGAAGGCAAAGAAGGTGAAGAAGGTGAAGCTGAGGAAGAGGAAGATAAAGATACTATGAATGAAACTGGAGAAAGCGCCAAAACTGAAGTCAAAGGTGAAGTTGGCCCTGTTGCCGTCCGAGCACCTGTTGTTGCTGGCAGAGCAGTTGACTACGGTGATGGCAAAGTTGAGGGCGATGATGTGGAGCTGTTAACGAATTTGCTCAGAGAAAGCAATAAGAGTGCGGAAAAGAAGGAGAAGGGGTCATCGATGAAAAAGCTGAAGCAAAAGCTCTCTCTGAAGCAGAAGATGCTGAAGAACGCCAAGCTGAGCTGGATGAAGGGCAGCAAAAGCAGCAAAAACCGCAGCCGCCAGGCGAAATCAAGCAAAACGAAGCTGGCAAAAAGCGGCTCCAAGAGAGGAGGCAAAGCAAAGGGCAAGTCAAAAAAGTCCAAGATGATGAAGGGAGGAAAGACGGTGAAGGGGAAGGGAAAAATGGCAAGCCTTCTAAAGAAGCAACAACAGCAGAAAACTCCTTCGTCGTCGACATCTCCGAAATCGCAGCGAGAAAAGAGCTCGTCGATGTACCTGACCAGCGTCGTCAAGTCCTCCTACTTTCAGCAGATGGTGAAGGTGTCCAAGTCAAAGGTGGGCAAGAGTGGGCGTGGTGCTTCAGCCGTCTCAATGGAATACAAGTCCAATGCCTACTCGACCACTGGACCTTCTTCATCCAGTAGTGCATCACCTAATGTCAAGAGCAAGGGCAAAATGAAAAGTGCCACTTCTTTAGGAAAAATCACCAAGAAGACCCGCAGCTACTCGGCCTCAAAGACAAAGAAGAAGACGTTGGGAGGTGGCAAAAGCAGCAGTGCCGGCAAAAAGACCTCGGCCACCAGGCCCTCAAAGTCGCTAATCGTCGGAAAGTCGGTCTTCAGCGACACCGACAGCAACACTGAGCTGTAGAAAACTTGTTTGCTTGTTTTTGTTCAACTGCTGTTCAGTGATGAGTTCATTCCGCCACAGCAACTACGCACATGTGCTGCTGCTATTTAACTCTTTTGAAACTCGATTAAAACTTGATAGGATAACGCTGATTGGTGGCAGATGATGGTGAATGAGGCAATGAAGTACAAACTTAAAAGCTTTAATTTAATTGATAAGGAAATGCAGAGAGACTAGAATAAAAAGAGCCCATCAGTTAGGGTCAGTCAGAGGGTAGAGATCATTGGTTGGAATAATAAAAAGGTGATGGGGTGGTGGTGGTAGTAGTCAGATTGGCAGTCTTCAAAGTCGAGGGATGTAGGGGAAAGGAGTGGTCGAGGTAGTGGGAATGGAGGTGATGGGCTCAGGAGTAGCGGGAGTGCTAGAAGGGGTGACCATCATCACCACCTCAGACGACTGATTACCAGTGTTGCTGCTGCTGTTGTTGGCCATCACCACCACCGGAGACGCTGGAGCCGCCGCCGCAGCTGAGACCAGGGTGAAAGTAGCCGCAGGAGCCGGCGTGTTGCCAGTGCCATTGCCATTGCCAAAGGTGATGTTGTAGTTGCCCTGGGCGAGCTGCTGTCGCATGCGGTCCATCGCGGCGGCCCAGCCGAGGACTCCCCCACCGAGCTGCTGCACCCCGGCGCCGGCGGTGGCCAGCGATGAGCCAAAGCTGTTCAGTCCGGAGCCGACGGCGTTGGAGCTGGCGTTGAGGGCGGCCATCGAGGCGGCGTTGAATGCGGCGTTCATCTGGCCCATCACCTGGGCGGGACTGGGCAGCGACTGGTAGACGGTGAAGACGGTCGAGTTGGACTCTTCAACAGGAGGCAGAGTGCCGTTGACGGCCAGCGAGAGCAGCGTTCGGTTGAGGTTGGCGAGGAGGGCGTTGCCGGTGGCGGTGCTCTGCTGAATCGGCAGCAGCAGCGTCTGGCCGATCACTGGTGTGGAAATAGAAAGTAGGAAACACAGGTTAGTGTTTGGGAAAAGGTAAACAAAGCAGTTCTTTTGTAGTTTACCTTGTCCGTTCTGGGCGAGCTGCTGAGGGAGGGCGGCCGCCGACTGGGCAATCTGCTCGTTCAGCGTCACCAGCGGTCGCAGGAGGAGGCTGTTCACCAGGACCGGAAGCAGCAGTGGGCGGTCGTAGGCGTTGGAGCTCAGGTTCGGCTGAAGTGCCTGCTGCTGCTGCAGCTGAAGAAGAGATGTCGTCTGGTTGGCGGCGTTGTTAATGGTGGTGGTAATGGGCACAACCGGGGTGAGCATGGGAAGCGGCAGAGGATTCGGTGCCAGCATTGGAGAGCCATCAGCGGGAAGAGACTGGCCTGTGGCTGAAGGTGGAGAGAAGGTGAGGGCCAGGCAAAGGGAAACCACTACGAAGGTGAAGTGCTTCATGGTTGGGAAAGTGATGGTGGTGGTAGTGAAGGGGGTGATCGAGAAACAGGGGACAGGGAAGAAGCAGAGAGGGGGTGATGACGATGACGATGATCTGAGCCCAAGAAGACGAGAGTGGTGACTAGTGAGGATGGCAACGACGGCTTTTATACAGTCTGTCTGGTGCTGGTGGTGAAACGATGATGGAAGATGCCAGCAGAGGCGCTCATGCCCGCTGATGACACACACAAGTCAAAAGGTGAAAAGGAGATGACAGACGATAACGATGACAGAGAGTTTGAACTGATGTGATGAGTCAAGCAATGAACAGACTTAAAGAGCACCACTGAACTCTATGAGCCCGCGGTTGAAGCAGAAGCAGCAGCTTTGATTTGGTTTTGTTTGACCTTTATTCAACATTGTCTCAATGATGACTGCTGCAAAAAGTTCAACACAAGTTCCCCAGCATCGTGAATCACCACAAGCAACTGCCGTTGGTTCGAGAAGAAAATACATCAGCAGCAGCAGTTTTGTCGTCTCACTTTCCACCGCCACCACCGCCACCACCTCCAATGGCCTCCATGGCGCCCAGTGAACAGGCAATCTGGCCGACGATGAAGGCGTAGTGGGCGCCCACGTAATGGGCATCACAGACCACTACAATGGCCCAACCTGAACCAAAACGAAGTAAGTAAGTAGTAAAATTTAAAGAATCAAAGTTCATAACACGTTTTCAACTTACAGACACAAAAGGCCAGCGCTATCATCAGGTGATCGAGGTAGGCGCCGGCGACGCCCAGCAGTGCAAAGACCAGCACGAAGAGGAAGAGAGCGATAAAGCCAATGTGGGACTTGGTGGAGGAGTAGGCGAACTCGACGCTGTACGCCACCACCGAGGCGATGCACATGCCGCCCCAGCCCCAGCGAATCAGTGTTTTCGGAAGGTCGCTCATTCAAGGTTGTTTGGGTTGGGTTGAAGTTGAAGCAGTTTGGTAAGTAAGTGATGAAAGTGTCTGAAAAATGATCAATTCACCACAGCAAAAAGTGAGACGTTCGAATTTTTTAAGCATTTCTTTTCGAACTAGGGATCATTGGCTTTCTGAATTTTGGCTAATTTATTCCTACCACCACCACCACCTGATCATTATCTAAACTGTATTGTCAGTAGTTGTGGTGACTGGGAATGCTAATGATCGCCAATGGTGAATGAACTCTCCCCCTCTTTTTCTGCTTAAAACTGAACGAACTGCACAACTACTAATCATCAAAGATCAGCTGTTGTTGCTGTTGCTGCTGCTAAAGAGGTTTCACTTTTCGGAAACTGCCGCCGCCTCCCATACGGCGCACCAATGAACACTTTTCTGGTTGCTGCTCCGAGCTGGTGTTGAGGATCACATTTAGTACATCAACGTTTGCCCAAATCGGCTGTATTGAGCACTGCAGCAACAGCTGTTTGTGAGGAAATTAGATGTTTGAACATTAGTGCAATTGCTACTATGATCGGATGTTGCTAATTTTTTTGCTATCTGCTCAGTTGACGCGGCGGAATACATCCACACTGTGCTCACTACGCATCTTCTTTTTCTACTTTTTCCTATATTTTTTTCCCTTACCAGTACTCAAAGCATCTGACACTAGAGTGAAAGATGAGCTCTGACCGCCACCACCAAAGTCATCATTAGTTCGTTGCCATTGAACAGTACAAAAGGCGACGCACTTCTAATTATTTTCTCGACAGCCAATTTCACACTACCGAAGATGAGCTCGTCAGCTTAGTAATTGATGGTGAAGAGGAGTCGTCGATGAGTTCAGCCTTCTACTACTACCACTACTAGTTCTTCGGTGCAGCAGTATAAAGGCCAAGCACAGCTTCGACTGCAGCTTCTCTTTGCAGCCACTTTCTAACGCAGAAAGTCTTTACAGATTTCTGAACAGCAGCAGAAAAGAAGAGGAAGCTACAGTGGTGATCAGTGAAGCTGATCGCACTCAGTTGGTGGTAATTGATTGTCGTGATCAGACATCAGCAAGAAAAGATGAAGATGAGGATGACATTGAGCTGTCGTTGGCTGGCGGTTGCAACGTTTATTGCAGCAGCAGCTTTCATCTTCTCGCCGATTTTGCCCGTCTCCGGAAAACTGTACCCAATCGAGTACCGAGTGCCACTCGCTGTAAGTCTAAAAGTTTGTAGACATTTAAAATTGTACCCTTTTTTTATAAATCACTTATCAGGGAAACATCCCTCCACCCGGGGACGTTTGGCCAAAACCGCAACTACATCGAAGCACCCCCGCACAGCTGACCCTCGACCGACACCGCTTCCGCTTCACCACCAACCTCGAAGGCTGCGTCGTCCTGCAGAACGCCTTCCGCCGCTACACAGAGCTCATTTTCTTAGACAGTCACCGCTTTCGACCTTCTCCCTCGAAGACCGTCCTGGAGGAGGTGCACCTGGAGATAACCGGAAATGGACAGAGCAGCGGCAGCACGGTAAACTGTGGCTATCCTCAGCAGGGCGAGGACGAGGCGTACAGTCTGCAGGTGCCCATCGTCGAGCAGTCCCACCGGGCCTGGCTCCAGGCGGCCACCGTCTGGGGTGGTCTTCGCGCTTTGGAGACCTTCAGTCAGCTGGTTCATGAAGGTGATGGAGGTTCTAGCAGTCACCATCTGCTCATCAACCAGACCACCGTACAGGACTTTCCCCGGTTCAAGTACCGCGGCGTCCTCCTCGACACCGCCCGGCACTACCTTCCGAAAAAGGTCCTGCTGGCCAATCTGGATGCAATGTCGTTTAATAAGATGAATGTTTTTCACTGGCATCTTGTGGACGATCAGTCTTTTCCCTTTGTTTCCACCCGTTTTCCGACAATTCACGCCGCGGGGGCGTACACCAGGAGGCACGTTTACACGCCCGCCGACGTTCAGGAGGTGATTGAGTACGCGAGGATGAGGGGCATTCGGGTGATACCGGAGCTGGACACGCCCGGACACACGCACGCCATGGCCCGGGCCTTTCCCGAGCTGCTGACGCCCTGCTACAAAAACGGCGTTCCCTACCAGCCCGACTTTCCCCACAACAGCGAAATGGAGATACTGAATCCGATGCGCCCACAGACGTTCACCTTTATGCGGGAGCTTTTTGCCGAGTTTAAGGGCACCTTCCGCGATGCTTTTATCCATCTGGGAATGGACGAAGTTTTTTACAGCTGCTGGCGAAGCAGTCCGGAGATTGCCCGCTTTATGGTTGCTCATAACATGAGTGATTACAGTCAGGTGGAGGAATTTTATGTAAGGAGAACGTTGGCAGAGGTCAAATCATTGGGCTACAAGGTCATCATCTGGCAGGATCCAGTTGATAATGGGGTGCCGGTGAGTTTGTAAGGGTTTTTACAAAGATTCAGTTGTTTTATGTGTTTTTTTGCAGCTCTCACCCGACTCAGTAGTGGCCGTCTGGAAGGACAAAAACCTCGACCACTCGATGGAGCACTGGCAGAGCTACGTCAGTCAACTGGCAAAGAAAAGTAAACGTTTGTTGATAACTACTTTCTGGTGCTAATTTTTGTAAATCTTTTTCCTTTAGAGTACCAGATGATCCTCTCCGCCTGCTGGTACCT